GATCTGAGCGAGACCTCGCCGTCCCTGGGGGGCTGCGATCCGCGACACTGTCGCCACTTTCGAGGGCTGCTGGTGGGTCCTGCGGAGTGATGCACCGCGGGGATCTGAACGAGACCTCGCCGTCCCTGGGGGGCTGCGATCCGCGACACTGTCGCAACTTTCGAGGGCTCCTGGTGGGTCCTGCGGAGTGAGGCACCGCGGGGATCTGAGCCAGACCTCGACGTCCCTGGGGGGCTACAATCTGCGACACTGTCGCCACTTTCGAGGGCTGCTGGTGGGTCCTGCAAAATGAGGCACCGCGGGGATCTGAGCGAGACCTCGCCGTCCCCGGGGGGCTGCGATCTGCCACGCTGTCGCCTCTTTCGAGAGCTGCTGGTGGGTCCTGCGGAGTGAAGCAGCGCGGGGATCTGAGCGAGACCTCGCCGTCCCTGGGGGCCTGCGATCTGCGACACTGTCGCCACTTTCGAGGGCTGCTGGTGGGTCCTGTGGAGTGAGGCACCGCGGGGATCTGAGGCGAGACCTCGCCGTCCCTGGGGGCTGCGATCTGCGACACTGTCGCCATCTTCGAGAGTTGCTGGTGGGCCCTGCGGAATGAGGCACCGCGGAAATCTAACCGAGGCCTCGCCGTCCCTGGGAAGCTACGATCTGCCACGCTGTCGCCACTTTCGAAGGCTGCTGGTGGGTCCTGCGGAGTGAGGCACCGCGGGGATCTGAGCGAGACCTCGCCGTCCCTGGGGGGCTGCGATCTCCCACGCTGTCGCCACTTTCGAGGGCTGCTGGTGGGTCCTGCGGAGTGATGCACCGCGGGGATCTGAGCGAGACCTCGCCGTCCCTGGGGGGGGCTGCGATCTGCGACACTGTCGCCACTTTCGAGGGCTGCTGGTGGGTCCTGCGGAGTGAGGCACCGCGGGGATCTGAGCGAGACCTCGCCGTCCCTGGGGGGCTGCGATCTGCGACATTGTCGCCACTTTCGAGGGCTGCTGGTGGGTCCAGTGGAGTGAGGCACCGCGGTGATATGAGCAAGGCCTCGCCGTCCCTGGGGGATGCGATCTGCAACACTGTCGCCATGTTCGAGGGCTGCTGGTGGGTCCTGCGGAGTGAGGCACCGCGGGGATCTGAGCGAGACCTCGCCGTCCCTGGGGGGACGTGATCTGCCACGCTGTCGCCACGTTCGAAGGCTGCTGGTGGGTCCAGTGGAGTGGGGCACCGCGGGGATCTGAGCGAGACCTCGCCGTCCCTGGGGGGCTGCGATCCGCAACACTGTCGCCACTTTCGAAGGGCTGCTGGTGGGTCCTGCGGAGTGAGGCACCGCGGGGCTGCGATCTGCGACATTGTCGCCACTTTCGAGGGCTGCTGGTGGATCCTGCGGAGTGAAGCGCCGCGGGGATCTGAGCGAGACCTCACCGTCATTGGGGGCTGCGATCTGCGACACCGTCGCCACTTTCGAGTGCTGCTGGTGGGTCCTGCGGAGTGAGGCACCGCGGGGATCTGAGCGAGACCTCGCCGTCCCTGGGGGGCTGCGATCTGCGACACTGTCGCTACTTCCGAGGACTGCTGGTGGGTCCTGCGGAGTGAGGCACCGCGGGGATCTGAGCGAGACCTCGCCGTCCCTGGGGGGCTGCGATCTCCCACGCTGTCGCCACTTTCGAGGGCTGCTGGTGGGTCATGCGGAGTGAAGCACCGCGGGGATCTGAGCGAGACATCGCCGTTATTAGGGGCTGCGATCTGCGACATTGTCGCCATTTTCGAGGGCTGCTGGTGGGTCCTGCGGAGTGAGGCACCGCGGGGATCTGAGCGAGACATCGCCGTCCCTGAGGGGGGGGCTGCGATCTGCCACGCTGTCGCCACTTTCGAGAGCTGCTGGTGGGTCCTGCGGAGTGAGGCACCGCGGGGATCGGAGCGAGGCCTCGCCGTCCCTGGGGGGGCTGCGCTCTGCGACATTGTCGCCACTTTCGAGGGCTGCTGGTGGGCCCTGCGGAGTGAGGCACCGCGGGGATCTGAGCGAGACCTCGCCGTCCCTGGGGGGCCTCTGGAGAGCTGCTGCGGGATACGTTAGGCGCAACGGGCGCATGGCACAGGCAACGAGGGTGATTTGTGAAACAGACCATCGGCCGGGCGATGGCCATAACGTTGGGCCTACACGTATCCCACGGGGATTCTCAAGAACTGCTGCGGGATACGTTGGGTGCAGCGGGCGCACGGCACAGCCAACGGGAGTGATTTGTTATTACGTTGCCCTAAGATCTTGATCGGGGGCCTGCGAGCCTTCCGATTGCTGCTCGTAAAACCACATGCGTCCATGTTACGTCATGCCCCGTTGTAGCAATCCTGATGTACTTACGCCCCGCATTGCGCAAGGGTTGGGTACGTCGCCAGGGCAGTTGCTTACCATTTCATGCTTGGTTTCCTCTCCTCCCGTCCTCTCCTCGTCGTCGTCTCCTTCTCTCGCTCTTCTCCTGTCCATCTATATATTTGAAGTCAACGCTGGCTGATATATCTTCCCCACGGAAATGACAAGGAAAGGAAGATCGATAAATCCACTGAACATCAGGGGGGCTGGTCATCCCTGGGCAAACAGGCAAGGCAGACAGAGGGCAACAGCGAGCAAGCCAAAGGCCTCGCAACACACATCAAGAACAAGGAAGCAAAAAAAACTGCACGACATCAAAATTATACTAAGAAAACACCACGCCAACGATGGCAAGAGCTCCAAAACAGTAGATAAAGCAGCAGCAGCAACAACTATGTTTTGAAGAATGATCGCTCTTATCTGCTCGCGTGTCACTCAGCATGTAAGCCCCAAACCATCGAGACTCGCTCTCTTCACCTTAGATCGTAACCCCCATTGGGGGTCTATCTTCCTTGACTGCCACTTGGCGCAGCCCCTATCACAGGGGAAGCGAGGAGGAGGGAAGGGACAAGGGGGAGGGAGAAGGATGGAGCACGAGAGGGACTTGCAGGGGTGGAGCAGGGAAACAAGCGGCAGAATCATACGGGCTGGTCGGGCGGGTCGGGCGGGCGGGCCCCGACGACCGGGTCGAGCGGGCGGGTCGCTAAAGCGTCAGTCCTGCATGAGTCGTGAGGGAATGTGGAGCGATAGCGCGATTCTCAAGTTAATCGTCAGAAGTCCAGAGCGAGAGCATGATTCCTGAGTGTTCGGGGCGTGGCATCTGAATACAATGCGAGGAAGTCCGACGCGAAAGCGCGATTCCTGTATAAATTGTAAAACGTCCCGCGCGAGAGCGCGATCTTGAAATGAACTGTAAGGAACTAGCAGACGGGAGCCACTGTTGCTGTAGCTCGGGGGTCAACAACGCATCGTGAGCCTCAAGACTTTCCTGGGTAAAGAAGTCTACCACAACAACAACAACAACAACAACAACAACAACAACAATCATTTAAGACTGGGGGCACTCCGTTCTCACCAGTGCCAGGGTTTTCATAGGAGGCGGGCAATACCCCCACTTTGTGGGGGGGCCGGTTCAAGCTCTACCAAATTTCCAAACGACTCTTCGCCACCACCCACACCCAGCTTCCCGCCCTATGACGTTCGGACACTTCACTTCGTGGCATGCGGACGACCGTGGCTACTATTCAGGGCCCCGCGGCCGACGACGACGGCGTGCGCGCGCGAAGAAAAAACGAATGTGTCCCGCATGGTATTATTTGACAGGGATGATGGCCCTGGCAGGTGCGCAACCGTTGTCGCAGAAGTTCGAAAAAGTTGCTCGCAAAAGCCCGTTTGACAGAAATGTTTAAAAAGTGTTGGGTTTCCTACGAATCCGCAAGAGCGCGCGGGATGAAATTTTGACATTTTTTTGTTGAAAAACCATTGGTTTTTTTTGATGTTTTTATGTTAAAATCGCTACGAACACTAAGGTTTTGGAAGGATTTCGTCTTGCGCGCGCGAATGTCCACTTTACCTTATTTTTTGCAAGGGATTCTTGAAATTTGATTATATTAGAACAAGAAATGTCATTTTCTATTGTTTTTTGCAAGGGAAAGCGGATTACAACAAAACAACCGGATCCTGTACACACCCTCTTTTCTGAGGCTTCCTCACGAAAATGATGAAAATGTAGCTGCGGCCTAGGCGGCGCAGGGGGGGCGCGCACCAGGGGGCCCAACAATAATTATTCTTTAGAATAAATAATATTCAACAACAATCAGTTTAAGATTGTTCGCTCTTACTGGCACGCGTGTCTTGCATTCTGTATACCCTAACCCTCGATGCCCGCCCACTTCGTCTTCGATTGCGCCCCCTTTCGGGGGGGAATATCTTCCTTTTGTCGGCCACTGGCTGAAGTGTGAGGAACTATCGAGCGAGAACGCCGTTCCTGAGTTCGGGGGCCTCGCTAGCCAAGGGATCTCGGAATACCGAAAAATATCGAACGGGAACCCTTGTCGCCGTGTCTGGGCCTCCACCAACTTGCCTGCATTACGAGAAAGTATCGAGCGAGAGCGCCACTCTTGAGTTCGGGGGTCTCTCTGGCAACGGCCTTTGCGAATACAGATTGAGGAAGTATCGAACGAGAGCCCTTGTCGTCGCAGTTGGGCCTCCACCAGTTTGACTAAATCGCGAGAAAGTCTCGAGCGAGAGCGCCGTTCCTGAGTTCGGGGGCCTTCCTGGCCAGGGGCTCTCGGAGTAAATCGTGAGGAAATGTCGAGCAGGAGCCCTTGTCGTCGTGGCTGGGCCTCCGCCAACTTGGTTGAATTGCGAGGAACTCTCGAGCGAGAGCGCCGTTCCTGAGTTCGGAGGCCTCTTTGGCCAGGGTGTCTCGGGGTAAATTGTGAGGAAGTATCGAGCGGGAGCCGTTGTCAACGTAGCTGGGCCTCCAAGAACCCACATGTACACTCAAAGCCAACGCTCGAGCGGGAGCCTCGCTTCCAGAGAAAATCCAGCCGGCGTCGAGGCGAGAGCGCGCGAAACCGTTTCCGGAGATCAACAATAATGATTCTCTAGAAAGTAGTAGTCAACAACAGAACCCAAAAGAACGCTCCTGGAGCTCCGCCACGCAGGGCTCAAGACCGTAGTCTGGCAGCATCCGCTCCAAGCCGGCGAGCGTGGCGGGCGGCGGGGAAGCCTCGGCGATGCTCAGGAGCTCCTCGAGGAACTCCAGCGACGCCGCAGCGTCGAGCTCGGGGGTACCGCGCCAGACCGTGCCGCCACACTTGAGCGACCGGAGACCGCCCAGCGCCGCCCTGTCGGAGAAGGGCATGTAGCCCCCAGCGACTTCCTCTCGCGGCGAGCACAGGGAGGTCCCTCAGATCTGGGCATTGCTTCTTTTTTCACCTCGGACCCTCACAAATCGATCCGGCTCGAAGATTAACGCAGAAGGATCGGGTCCAAGGCTCCGGTGGTGATTTTTGTCGACGCTGACATTTTTTGCAACGTCAATCTAGGGGGTGGTTCCTTGCCTCCCACTCCTGCCTGTACGAGCTGAGACAGCAAGCCTACCAAACAGTACAGTTGTGGACGAGCTGGATTCAGGATCCTCTTCAGAGACTCCCCAGAGCCAATGGTTTGCGCCTTGGGATGTTGCTGCTCGAGCGTCGATCTTTAAACGCAGCCTGCGAACTGGCTTGCTCGGCCCAACAAACGCACAATCAATATGAAGAACAACGTTCTCCAAACCTCTGAGCCCTTTACGCCTGAGTCCACTCCCGCTGTTTTCCAGTGGAGCGCTTCCGACAGGACCGCGCCACCAAGGGCCGACGCGGGTGGGCTCGCTTCTGCACGCGAGCCCAGGCTGCGAGCGGACGAGAGGAGGGAGCCAAGCAAAGAGTGAGAGAGACACTGGAAGAAGGCAGAGGGGGCGGAGCTTCTCACAAGGCTCAGAAGGCATCCAGCCTTCTGGGAAGCTCGCTGAGCCTTCTCCGCAGACACGGGCGGCCTCTCAGAGGGCGCAGGGGCTTCTGCCAAGCCCCGCCCGCCTTCTGAGAAGGCCTGGGGCCTGCCGCCTCTCGCTTCCCCCCTGGGCTCGCCGCCGGCTCCTGCACCAGGCGAACCACGGACCCCTTGGGCAGGCCCAGCACCTCGCCCAGGCGCTCCCGGAGGTCGCCCATGGTGGTGTCCTTGGAGGGGCCAGAAAGGCCCCCCAATACCGCCAGTCCCCGGACCTCTCTCCCAGGGTGCGTTCTGAGCAGCACCTTCGGGGAGAGCGCCCCAGCCGTGGCGACGAGAGCTCTCCAGGACGAGCAGCGGCTCCTCCTCTGAGCCCTCGGTGGCCCGCACGGAGGCCCTCGCCCCCCGTGCCCACGTGTCCCTGGACCTCTCCCGGGGCTGCGTTCGGCCCAGCACTTCGGGAAGAGAAGGCCCGGCCGTGGCGGCGAGAGCTCTCTCTCACTCCAGGGCGAGCGGCGGCGGCGGCATCTCTCCCTGACTGCCTACCAGACCACCCCAACCTGACCCGAAGACCCGAAGTTCGGGTTAGGGGGGGTACGGGTTCCACATGTGCTTCCTCAATGCTCCCCGACCCCACCCACCCACCCAGGAAATGGAGGCCAGACTGAGTCCCTCGGGTCGGGTTGGGTGGGCCTGGTGGGCGGTGACTTCCGCCCTGGGATAGGAGTCCTCGGTGGCCCGCACGAAGACCCTCGCTCTCGTGTCCACGTGCTCCACGGCGACAACGCCCTCGTACTCGCGGGGCGCCATGTCCACGCCGCGCCCGCGCGCGCCCTCGGCGGGGCCGGACACCGAGACTGGAGGCCCCGCGGCCGAGGCAGCGGCGGCCGGGGGCGCGCCTGGCGCCGCCGCCGCGCCCAGCAGGCAGTCGAGCCGCAGGCATCCATCGGGCCCCACGCCCTCGCCTGGAAGACGAAAAAAGTGCACATAATTCATAGGGTGCGGGCACTGGATGAGGAACCGGTGGATAAGGAATCCAGGGCCTGGAGGCTGGTGGAACTGCAACTGTGGCTTGGCCACGGGTATCGCCGCCGCCATCATCGGATACGGAACCATCCAGAGTCTGAGGCCTCCTGGGCACATTCCTTAACTAACCAACGCCCCCACCGTACGGCAGATTCGTGTCGTGACGATCCTGGCATCGGTTCCTGACACCGCGTGGATCGTTCAACCTTCAACGACTGGCGGTGTTCCGACCGCTCGAGCGTTCCATGTTGGCCGATTCTGCGACACTGGCGGCGTTCAACCTTGAACGCCCGAGGCGGGGTCGCCTCCGCGGCGACACGACACGAGCCTGCCGCAAGCGTTCAGGGGTCCGCGCGGAGCTCCTGGGCGGGCACTGGATCCCCCTCCCCCGGCGCTGGAAGTGCCGCCGGGGGGCCCGGCACCGACCCGAGGGATCCGTGCGGGCCTCCGAAGATCGTGTCTGCGGCTTGCTCATCTGTTATCGCCACGGATGCGCACTCGCAGGCTCGCCAGGCCGGCGCCGTTGGTCTTGAAGAAGGGGTTCCGACCCCACAGGAGCAGGTGGCGACCGCGCACGCTGGGCACCTGGGCCGACACGTACGGCGACAGCCGCGCCTCGCTGCCGAGGTGTTGGGGCCGCCTCAGCACGAGGTCCGGGCCATGGCGCTGGACCGTGTCGTGCGGCTTCGACCGGACGAGGAAGTTGAGCGTGTCTGGGAGCGTGTCCTCGTGCTGGTCGCCCTGGCCCTGGAAACTGCAGGAGTGCGGCTCCGGGGCGCCCCGAGGGATGCTGATGCGGTAGACCCGTGACTCGCGGGCGGGCACGTGCCCAAAGCGACCAGAGCCAACCATCGCGCGCTGCCTCCTGACGCCCTTCAGGCCACCATAGAAGAACTTCTCCAGACTCACCTGAGCGGGCACGTCGACGGTCTGCCCGGGCGGCCTCTGAGCCTCCCTGAGCCTCTTCAGCACCTCCGTCGCGTCAAAGTGTGCCTTCTTCTTGATCTTGTACCCACTGATCTCGAACGACGCCTTGTCGCGATCCCTGTCGCGGTCGTACTGGCGCCGGGTCGGGTTGTCGCTGAGCGTCTGGTAGGCACCGTTCAACTCGATGAAGATGCCTTGATGCTCTTCCTTCTGCTCGTCACTCAGTCCATTGGTCTTGTCCGGGTGGTATATCAGCGATAGTTTCCTGTAAGCCTTCTTGACCTCATCACATGTCGCGTACTCGTCCAAGCCAAGAACAGCGTAGTAGTTGACGGCCTTGTCAAACTCGAACGCTTTAGGAGCCTTGAAGTCATTGACCGAGGGCCTGAACGAGGGATCCGTCCGCCTTCGCTTCTCGTCCCTGGTGCCTGTGAATGTGTCTGCGAGAGACTCGGTCCTCCTTACCGTCTGCATGAATGGGCTCTCGTTAAATCTGGCGGCCTGCGCGGCGGTCATCCCCCCGACTGGCGCCCGCCCGAGCCTGTGCATCACCAGAAAGGCCTCTCCGTCTGAGGCTTCTGGAGTCCTGCCCTGCGTCCCTGGGGAGCGGTGGATGTGGACATTTTCCCGCCGGCACGGCTGGGCAGATTCTCATCTACGCTGCTCCCCGAGGTCTCGGGGCACGACCCCCGAGCGTTGAATGCGGGCATTGCATGTGGAATCCAAAAAAATTATCCCAGTGAGACCCTACCTAGGAGTTGGAGCCCCTAGGAAAGCAGCATTAGTAGAAACAGTAAAGCTAAGCTAAAGCTAAGCTAAAGCTAAGCTAAAGCTAAGCTAAAGCTAAGCTAAAGCTAAGCTAAAGCTAAGCTAAAGCTAAGCTAAAGCTAAGCTAAAGCTAAGCTAAAGCTAAGCTAAAGCTAAGCTAAAGCTAAGCTAAAGCTAAGCTAAAGCTAAGCTAAGCTAAAGCTAAGCTAGCTAAGCTAAAGCTAAGCTAAGCTAAGCTAAAGCTAAGCTAAAGCTAAGCTAAAGCTAAGCTAAAGCTAAGCTAAAGCTAAGCTAAAGCTAAGCTAAAGCTAAGCTAAGCTAAAGCTAAGCTAAAGCTAAGCTAAAGCTAAGCTAAAGCTAAGCTAAGCTAAAGCTAAGCTAGCTAAGCTAAGCTAAGCTAAAGCTAAGCTAAGCTAAAGCTAAGCTAAAGCTAAGCTAAGCTAAGCTAAAGCTAAGCTAAAGCTAAGCTAAGCTAAGCTAAAGCTAAGCTAAAGCTAAGCTAAAGCTAAGCTGGAGCTAAGCTAAAGCTAAGCTAAAGCTAAGCTAAAGCTAAGCTAAAGCTAAGCTAAAGCTAAGCTAAAGCTAAGCTAACACTAAGCTAAAGCTAAGCTAACACTAAGCTGATGCTAAGCTAAAGTTAAGCTAAAGCTAAGCTAACACTAAGCTGAAGCTAAGTTAAAGCTAAGCTAAAGCTAAGCTAAAGCTAAGCTAACACTAAGCTGAAGCTAAGCTAAAGCTAAGCTAAAGCTAAGCTGAAGGCTAAAGCTAAGCTAAAGCTAAGCTAAAGCTAAGCTAAAGCTAAGCTAAAGCTAAGCTAACACTAAGCTAAAGCTAAGCTAAAGCTAAGCTGAAGCTAAGCTAAAGCTAAAGCTAAAGCTAAGCTGAAGCTAAGCTGAAGTTAAGCTAAAGCTAAGCTAAAGCTAAGCTGAAGCTAAGCTAAAGCTAAGCTAAAGCTAAGCTAAAGCTAAGCTGAAGCTAAGCTAAAGCTAAAGCTAAAGCTAAGCTGAAGCTAATCTAAAGCTAAGCTAAAGCTAAGCTAAAGCTAAGCTAAAGCTAAGCTAAGGCTAAGCTAAAGCTAAGCTAAAGCTAAGCTAAAGCTATGCTGAAGCTAAGCTAAAGCTAAGCTAAAGCTAAGCTAAAGCTAAGCTAAAGCTAAGCTAACACTGAGCTAAAGCTAAGCTAACATTAAGCTGATGCTAAGCTACAGCTAAGCTAAAGCTAAGCTAAAGCTAAGCTAACACTAAGCTGAAGCTAAGCTAAAGCTAAGCTAAAGCTAAGCTAAAACTAAGCTAAAGCTAAGCTAAAGCTAAGCTAAGGCTTAGCTAACAACAAGCTAAAGCTAAGCTAAAGGCTAAAGCTAAGCTAAAGCTAAGCTAAAGCTAAGGTAAAGCTAAGCTGAAGCTAAGCTAAAGCTAAGCTAACACTAAGCTAAAGCTAAGCTAAAGCTAAGCTAAAGCTAAAGCTAAAGCTAAGCTAAAGCTAAAGCTAATGCTAAAGCTCCCAGGGGACTGGGGGAACCGCGGGGCGGGGACTGGGGGAACCGCCCGGGGCGGTTAGCACTGCCCGGCCCTTTAAGCAAAGAGAGTAAGAACCCTTCTAGGCAGAGCCTAGGTAGGGAATTAGCCTGACGAAAGACCCAACCATGTGCAGCTGCGAGTACCACAAAGCAGGTAGGCATTAAGGGAGGGGGCTAGCACTAAGAGGTACGTGTGAAGGACAGAACGACGTTGCTGATAGGGTCAATGAGGTCGGTCGTAACAGGTTACATCTGGATGTAACACGTTACGGCTTATCTGCGAAACGATTAAAAGGGGATCCGAAATGGGCGCGGTCACGCATGCGAAGCCTGCCGCTGGGGCATTCGGTGGAGCTCCCTATGGGGCCACGGAAAATGTGAAGGGTGCGCCGAAATAGGCGCGGTCACACCTGCAAAGCCTGACGCTGTGACCTTCGGCGGAGCACCCCGATGGGGCCACGAAACATGTGAGGGGTGTGTGGAAATGGGCGCCGTCACGCCTACGATTCCTGCAGCTTGGGCCTCCGGTGAACCCCCCCCCTATGGTGCCACGAAACGCGTGAGGGGTGCAGCCACGAGGTGCGGAGGAGGCATGCGAACGCAGCCACTGGGACATTCGTCGGAGCTCCCTATGGGGCCACGGAACGTGTGAGGGGTGCGCCGAAATATTGTCGATCAGGTATGCGAACGCAGCCACTGGGGCCTTCGGTGGAGCTCCCCGGTGGGGCCACAGAACGTGAGGGGTGCGCCGAATTGCCGTGGAGAAGGTATGCGAAACGCAGACACTGGGGCCTTCGGTGGAGCTCCTCATGGGGCCACGAAACGTGTGAGGGGTGCGCCGAAATCCAATGGAGAAGCTATGCGAACGCAGCCACTGGGGCCTCCGGTGGAGCTCCACTCTGTGGCCAAGGAACGTGTGAGGGGTGCGCCCAAATCCTGTGGAGAAGGTACGCGACCGCAGTCACTGGGACCTCCGGTGGAACTCCGTACGGGCCACGAAACGTATGAGGGGTGCGCCGAAAGGGCCGAAAGGGTATGGAGAAGGTATGCGAACGCAGCCACTGTGGCTTTCAGCGGAGCTCCCTGTGAAGGGTGCAGCGACAAGGTGTGGAGAAGGTATGCGAAAGCAGCCACTGGGGCGCTGCCTATGAGGCCACGAAACGTGTGAGGCGTGCGCCAAAATCCAATGGAGAAGGAATGCGAACGCAGCCACTGGGGCCTTCGGTGGAGCTCCCTATAGGGACACGAAACGTGTGAAGAGTGCGCCGACTTGCTGTGGAGAAGGTATGCGAACGCAGACACTGGGGCCTTCGGTGGAGCTCTCTATGGGGCCACGGAAAGTGTGAAGTGTGTGCCGAAATGCCGTGGAGAAGGTATGCGAACGCAGCCACTGGGGCTTTCAGTGGAGCTTTCTATGGGGCTACGAAACGTGTGAGGGGTGCGCCGAAATTTGAGTATGGAGAAGGTAAGCGAATGCAGCCCCTGAGGCCTTCGGTGGAGCTCCCTGTTGGACCACGGAACGTGAGGGGCGCGCCGAAAGCGTGTGGAGAAGGTGTGACAACGCAGCTACGTG